TTTGAAAGAATGGGTCAGCAAGGAGATCTTGTGGATAGGACGTATAAATATGATTCGATCATATATTCTTCCTAAGTGGAATTAGATTTTTAGAATGTTACCAGTACAAGTTCCCATACCTTGGTTAAAAATGATACAGTCAGCTTTTTCTAAATTTATTTGGAAGGGGGGAAAACCCAGTATAAATTTAAATTTGATATCAAAAAAGAAAAAGGATGGGGGACTTGCAGCCTTAAATATAATAGAATATCATAATGCGTGTATGCTAGCACATGCTACTAACACTCAATGTAGAGCTCAAAAAGATCAAGCCTGGTATCAAATAGAATTAGCATTAATAGGAGCAGAAAGTTTTTCAGAACTATTTTGGACAACAAAAAAAGATAAACATAAAAATAGTACAGTGGTTCCAGAAAATTAATTGGTTATTAATGATATTTTGAAATTTTGGAATAAATTTAAAAAAGATTTTAAAATAGAACATAGATCATTTCCTTTCTTGTCTATGGAGGTGATTTCGATGAATATTGAAGATATTAATATTAGTAAATGGCTACAGGCAGAAATCCACACTATTAAAGACTGTATTGACATAAGAGAAATAAAGTCATTTAATCAGCTACAAATAGAATTTGGACTTAATAGTAAAGAGATCTTCACATATTTGAGAATTAAATTATTTTTGGAGAAATTTTTAATAATTTAAGAACTATTGTTGATAATTACAGACAGAAAGGACACATAACTAGATGCTTTGAATTTCTAAAAGAGTCACAGAAGAACTTTGAGTGGAAAGCTAAGAGCAAGTGGGAAAAAGATCTTAATACAGAAATCACAAAGGAGGATTTTACTAGGGCTATAGTAAGTGTGAATAAAAATTGCTTGAAAATTGCTTGAACATTGTTGAGAATTTCTTTAAGTTAGTAAACAGATGGTATATGGTCCCAGGAAAATTGGCCAAAATATATAGATAGGCAAAATAAATGTTGGAGATGTGATACAGGAAAAGGAGATTATCTCCATATATGGTGGGAATGTGAACAGCTAAAAAAAAGTATGGAAGGAGATTAATGATCAAATATATACAGTTTGTCAGGTAAAAATACCTTCACTCCACAGAGTTTTTTATTACACCAGGGTTGGCCCAGTATGTCTATTGAAAAAAGCATGATGATAATACACATATTGATGGCATCAAAGATAGTTTTGGCAAGGCATTGGGAAAGTAAAAAGATATTGGAGTGGAATGAAATAAAAAATTAAACAATATATCAGTGTAAAATAGAAATCGGAATAATTAAAAATAATTCATCTAGATTAAGGAAAATTAATAAATGGACATAAATTGTGAAAAAAACTCCTTGCTGGCTAAGCAAGTATCTATAATAAAAGAGGAAGTTCAGAGAAATGTAGTTATCATTGCTTATAGTTAAATTTAATGTATAATGTCTCACAGGTATGAATGTGGCCTAAAGGAAAATAAGAATTATTGTGTTTTGCTATAAATATAAGATAAAAGGAATATAGATATATAATGGGACAATGAGCAATAAGGTAAAAATTGATTCCTGGGGCATGTAAATATGTGTTTGAATGTTTTTATTGTATGTATTTTTATTCTGCAATCCACGTAAATATACATATGTATTTTTATGTAAGGAATTATGTAAAATTTATGAAATATAGAATATATGAATTGTAATTTAAAAGGGAATGTATGTAAACAAATAAGAAAATGATATGAAAAATAAAATGTACATATAAAAAAAAAAAAAAAAAGTATTTAGAAAATTGGGCAGACTAGATGGGCCGAATGGTTCTTATCTGCTGTCACATTCTATGTTTCTATGTTTGTTTCACAGAACAAATTGTAAATGTATCCTATTAGGAAAAGAAAAAGAAAAGAAATGGAGGATACAATATGTATATAGGCAATGGAATACTGGGAACAAGTATATATATAAAGAAATAAAACATAACTTTTAATGAATGTATAAATTACTAAAAAGTCTTTTATAACAAAAGACCCACTACAATACAAAAAATAGTACTATGTGCACATACACACAACATTAATTAAAAATAAAACAGAGGCTGGTCCACACTGCTGGGTAAATAGTAAATGTCCCTAAAGGACGATTAGATGTAGAGCGATAAATCATATATCAAGTTAACTGTATAATAACAGAGTATCAGTTGACAACAGATTAATTATAAGTACTTGCTTGGTGGCCACAAGTTTTTTTATTTTATTTTCGTTAGCAATATTATTGTACAATCATTAACTAACAAAAGCACTGTCATTAGTTTTGATATATATAGAGACCATATAGAGACCTTTTTGTTCTTTCGTTCATAAATAAAACACTATCCATTAAAGGTGTGTTTTTTATATATTTCTACAATCCATAATTGATATTTACATATTATTTTTTAATACTATAAGATTACAAGAACTTTGGGATATATATTTTTTTGCTATCATTATATATAAACTTATCGTTTATTTCAGCTTTATTTATATCCAATATACGGACAATTTACGATCGTGTAATCTTTTGTTCCCTGATGGACTTCACTTCGTTTTATTTTCTGGTCAAGTATGCGTGTGTTACACTAATGGTACCTTTTTATATGCCATATTAGTAGCATAATAATCACAGCAATTTCCATATATTATTTGTTTGTTTTAGTTTACCCATTTTTTGAGGATCTATAAATAATTATTTGATTCACCTATATATATATACATATAATCTAATGTCGGACATTTTCTCTGCTTTTGCAGATCTACACAAATTAGAACGGATTTTTTTAGTGTCTGCACTGCTAGACGCTGTTACAGCAAAGGTGTTTTTATGATGCTCTAATTAGCACCATGAAATTATGGCAATCTTTTTTGCTCGCTCATTACATTGAGGTTGCAATTTGATTCGCCATTTAGTTTACAATCTGCATTTTTGTGAATTAGCGGCTTATTTATTGTTTGCTGGGAATATGGCTTACTGTATAAATATATGGATACATTTATTCATTCTTAACTTACGAAATACACAAGTTGCCATCTGTGTATTCACTACATCAATTTACTAAAGTTACGAGTTATGTTTCATGACTACCTGTATTCTTTATCAACTTTACACACTTCATACATTTTTTAAATTTTTTATTTGAGATTTTATTTAAGTTTATTTCATATTTTAATTGAGGATCTAATGAACAACATGTTATTCACATATATATATATATTTATATATATATATATATAATCCTGTTATTTAAAAAAATTTCTGCTTTTACAGATCAATTTGGACTGAAATGAATGAAACTATTGAATTGCTTTTTGCAATTAATAATATCCAGACTGATTATGTGGGGGTCTTATATTATTATAACACACTCGTCAGTCTCCTCCCCTTTATATGTGACACTTCACATATTTCTTCTTTTCAATAAACTTTTTTGCGATCATACTATAATCTGATTGGCTAGTTGAAATTTGAATGCTCCAATCAGTGTCCCAGCCCTGCCCTTTAAAAACCGGCAGAATTCACTATACGGTTCCCCTCTGATGAGCTAATCTAGCGAAATGTGTGTCAGGGGCGTTTGGGGCATTGCTGTGTCCACTATACTGCTCGTGTTTTTTTCTGACATTTCAATATTAATTTCTCTATTTATTTTGGTCCTTTAGCATCTTTTCTCTTATTGGTATTATACTCATTTCAGGAGCGGGTGGATTGCAATTTTATTTCAAACTAGGGTCATTTTATGGGTAAGGGTTGCCCTCGAAGGCACTATAGGGACAGTTATTTTGCTAATCCCTCTCCCTTTCTCCCCTTTACCCACCCTGCTGACAGTTACTTTTGCTACATTTTGGTTATATTCCTATAGCTACTGTTATACACAGTTGCCAATAGAGCCAGCATTTTACTTGTGGCCACCAAGCAAGTACTTATAATTAATCTGTTGTCAACTGATACTCTGTTATTATACAGTCAACTTGATTTATGATTTATCGCTCTACATCTAATCGTCCTTTAGGGACATTTACTATTTACCCAGCAGTGTGGACCAGCCTCTGTTTTATTTTTAATTAATGTTGTGTGTATGTGCACATAGTACTATTTTTTGTATTGTAGTGGGTCTTTTGTTATAAGAGACTTTTTAGTAATTTATACTTTCATTAAAAGTTAGATTTTATTTCTTTATATATATATATATATATATATATGTATATATATATATATATATACTTGTTCCCAGTATTCCATTGCGTATATACATATTGTATCCTCCATTTCTTTTCTTTTTCATTTCTCTACAGGGGTTATCCCCCATCTAGGAGGTATACATAGGCATTAATTATTTTCTTTTTTTCTTCTTTTCTTTTCTTACTGTAGTCTATTAGGAAAATACCACACAATTCCTACTCTTGTTGATATTAATAATAATTAGTAATTAACATACACACACATAAACTCACAGGAATTAAATTCCTCTTATAAGCAAAATTACAAGTTCATTATATATGTGTCTATTGGAATAGATCGTGAAGATATCAGTTTCAATGGCACAGTGTGAATTATGAAATTCAAAGTAGATTTCACAATTTGTCAGAATTCTGTAACTGAAAAAAACATGGGACTAAAATTTTTAATTTATTTTAAATTCACTTTAAATTAACTATTATTTACACTTTAGTAAATAACCCTGTCAATGTAGTCAACAGCAGTACATGACACATTCATACTGACATCAATTACTAATTTCTAAGAACAATGTCAAGATGATAAACTTGCCTGATTTTATTAAAATGTGTTATAAGATGCTTATGCAGTCATAGTACAGTCTACACTACAATTATATTCCAATCAGCCTCTGCCTACCTTCTGACATGCTACTTCACCAACTGGGCCCAATACAGGCCTGACCTTGGAAAGTTCACTCCAGATAACATCGACCCATGTCTTTGTACTCACCTAATTTATGCTTTTGCCGGAATGTCCAACAATGAGATCATCACCATTGAACAGAATGACGTTACCCTTTACAGCTCTTTCCAAAGCCTGAAGAATCAGTAAGTGGCTTTTCTACATCTTCTTGCTAATGCCCATTTTACCGTGCACTTGACATAGCATCTCAGTATCTTTTCTATTTGTCTGAAAGTTAAAGAACTTGAAGGCTATAATAGTCACTGTATTCGAAATATCTTTCACTGCCACCTATAAACAAGTAACAAGCATTATCTTCTCATTTTAGGAACAGCAATTTGAAAACCCTTCTGGCCATAGGTGGGTGGAGCTTTGGAACTGCACCGTAAGTACTGTATGTAATAAATTATAAATTCTTAACAAAGAAATTAGAAATGTCTGGATTAAAATGTAATCTTCTTGTTCCATTACTTTACAGATTCACTGCCATGGTTTCCACTGCTCAAAACCGTCAGACATTCATCACCTCTGTGATCAAATTCCTGCGTAAATATGGATTTGATGGACTGGACTTCGATTGGGAATATCCTGGCACCGGAGAAAGCCCTCCGAAGGACAAAGCACTCTTCACAACTCTGGTTAAGGTAAGCAAAGCTTATTCTAGAAGTATGCTAGAGAAATCTAAACCATTACATTCCAGAGTTTTTATACACACACAGTTTTTCCAACATGAAATTCCTCTACTAAATATTTTACAATATTCAAGGTTGATATCAAAATGTATTATTTAAAGGGACACTATAGTCACCAGAACAACTACAGCTTATTGAATTTGTTCTGGTGAGTAGAATCATTACCTTCAGGCATTTTGCTGTAAACACGGTCTTTTCAGAGAAAATGCAGTGTTTACATTACAGCCTAGTGATAACTTCACTGGCCACTCCTCATGTGGCTGTTAGAGATCCTTCCTGGGTCATGGCTGCCTAAAATGAATCCAAACATTCAGTATCTCCTCCCTCTGCATGCAGACACTGAACTTTCCTCATAGATATTTATTGATTCAATTCATCTCTATGAGGAGATGCTGATTGGCCAGGGCTGTGTTTGAATTGTGCTGGTTCTGCCCCTGATCTGCTGCTTTGTCAGTTTCAGCCAATCCTATAAGGAATTACTGTGATTGGATCAGGCTACCACTTCTAATGATGTCAGCAGACTGCTTGTTTTTCTGAGGCAGACAGTGGCAGAGCCAGCAGCTTCAGGCTTGAATACAGTAAGATGTTTACTATATTTATGGAGGCATGAGGGGCTGGGGCTGGATGGTGGTTTTAACACTATAGGGTCAGGAATACATGTTTGTGTTCCTGACCCTATAGTGATCCTTTAAGGTTAAAAGGTTTGTGTGGCAACATATTATATTGTGTTTATTGTTCCTATACAGGAAACAAGAGCAGCTTTTGAGACTGAAGCTTCAAAAACCAACAGGCCAAGGCTCTTGGTGACCGCAGCTGTTGCTGGTGGCATCTCTAACATTCAAGCTGGTTATGAAATCCCTCAGCTTTCTCAGTAAGTTCAGTTAAATCAGCTTTATTGCCTTAGTGTTAATAAATGACTTTGTAGAAATTTTAAAACACCTGGTGAACAGAGCAATGGTACTTGTTGTCTAAATCTAAATTGAAGTAATTTACTTTGTGTTTTCCTATAAAATGCAGTTAATAATATTGTTATGCAATGCAATAGGGCTCTGGATTACATCCATGTTATGACCTACGACTTGCATGGTTCATGGGAAAAATACACTGGTGAAAACAGCCCATTGTACTCTAACCCTTCTATCACTGAACAGAGCGTTCAGTTGAATGTTGTAAGTATCCATTAGCTTAAAATACTTCTTGCGATATATAAAATAATATGGGAATTGAGGTTATTTAATGAAATGAAGAGGAAAGAGACATGCTTGCTTTCTGTCTGTTCGCTGACAGGTCATTACATCTACCTAAATGGGATTGGGCTAACCAGGATGAATTAATGGATATATAGCCCCAAAAATTAAATTACGAGTATTTATAGGTTATGGTTTGCATCCAAAGATTTTTTTAAAATGCATCCTGTCAATGTTAGCTGTAGAAGTATACTGTATTATACTATATGTGCTAGGTATTAAATCAGTGTGGCATCAGGTTAAGTCTTAGTGAATATAGAGTCTACTGTTTACTCTGCCATCACAAATTCTCTCACTGTAGGAATATGTCATAAACTATTTTGCTGAAAAATGGGGCACCTGCTTCTAAACTTATAGTTGGTTTTCCAACCTATGGACAAACTTTCACCCTAAGCAACCCATCCAATAATGCCATTGGAGCCCCTGCTTCAGGTGCTGGCTCAGCTGGTTCTTACACTGGGCAATCTGGATTTTTGGCATACTATGAGGTATGTTTAAGATCAAGCATATCATGTTTTAGAACAAATGCTTTAAAAATAATTACATTTAAAACTTTTAGTTTAAACATAGCAGCCTCGCTCATATAGCTATCTATCTACCTTTTTTATACATAGATCTGCACTTTCCTGAACAATGGAGCTACTAAAGAATGGTCCTCTGCTGAAGGTGTGCCCTATGCTTACCGAGGAAAAGAATGGCTGGGATACGACAATGAGAAGAGCTTCACGCAAAAGGTAATTTTAAGACGTTACAATTTAAGCTAAAGTAACTCTCCCACAGGATTCACACTATTGTTTTTGATAACATTTATTAACAGGCAAAATGGCTAATGCAGAAAAACTTGGGTGGTGCTATGGTTTGGACTATTGATCTGGATGATTTCACAGGTACATTCTGTAACCAGAACAAGTCTCCTCTGATCAACACACTGAAGAGCATTCTTGGAGTTCAGGCCTGTGGTAAGCTCACTTTTTCATATTTATGCTGGGCACCTTGTATAAATTATCCTTAAAGCTTACATTCTCTCTCTTTGAATTGTAATACAGTATTTAATATAACACCATCAATCATTCCCAAATAAACAGCATTTAAAGGAAAATTAGTTGTTGCAAATTGTCTTTTTAAATATACTATAGACCTAAAAGGAGCGTAATAGAACTTGTACTGAAGTATATATTGCTATATTTCTCAATCCAAAGGCTACCTCCAATAGGTATAACAACATTATCATTGACCAGATAACTAGTTCTTCACTGGATAAGATATCTGGAATATGTACAGTATTGAGATGAATATTTCACTAATTAGTCCACTCCCTGTAAAATAATTTGCCAAGTATACTAAGGAATATTATATATACAGAAACAGAATCTCTGTTAGCATGTTGTTGAACTTATACAGACATGGTACTATAATTTGCCCTTTTTTCACAATTCCACCTGGTTACTGTTCTATCATGTTGTCTGACCTCTTTGTTGGCTCTTATTCCTAAAGAAGAGAGACAATGCAAATAGTTTTAATATTCTGTTTATCAGAGTCAACCTACACACTTTTATGATATTCTGTAGTATGGCATCCACTAAACCTATCATTGGCAGTGAGTGACTACATTAGTGTTTGTCCCTTGCTGCTGTTGCATAGAGAAAATTGTGTCCTACTGGATTCCTTTCTTGCATTTGTAGGCTCTTTAAAAGTTTGATGACCATATTTTTCATCTTGTGTGGACTATTGGCCACTGCTGGACCACAAATAACTGGGTTTGCCATTTGCAAAACCCATGTAGTTCCAGAGCTCCGAAAGGCTTCTTTTATTAGAATTTTTTTTTAAAAAAATTTACATCCTATATTGATCAGGCAATTTACCAGCTGCATCAGACTGTCTTTTTCATGCTGAAAAGATTTTGTGTTAATCCACTTTTTAACTTGAATATCACACGCATTAAATGCCCATGTCCACATCTTGCAAATTTAATCAGAGGAAAGGGTATAGATTTGCTTACAGTCTTCCACTGTACATTTTGTATTTTTGAGCAAAATGTTCATTTAACACAGTCAACTGCTTGGAAAAAAAAAATTGAAAGTGCTAAAATTAACAGAACTGATATTTATTAATAGATTGTAGAGCAAATAAATATATATTTATATACTTATTTTCCTTTTCTGCAGGTCGTAATAGCCCAACTTCTTCAGTTGCCGCAGCCACCGAAAAACCTGCCATCCCACCTGCTGCTCCAACCCCTGCCCGGTCCGGTGGCAGTGGGTTCTGTGCTGGCAAAGCAAATGGACTGTATCCTGTTGTTGAAAACAAAAATGCTTTCTGGCAGTGCTCAAATGGAATCACCTACCAGCAAAACTGTCCAACTGGTCTTGTCTTTGACCCAAGCTGCCAATGTTGTAACTGGGCATGATTTGGATCTGCTGAAAGGCTTGAAAACGTGTAAACCCATAAAAACACTGTAATGATCCATCTTAAACAGTGCCGCAATTAAATAAAATCAGCATGAGTAGAAATTTGGTGTTTTTGTTTTTATTTAGAACCCAGTGAATATAACATTGAATTACAACTAAAATGATCATGGCAGATTGTGTGTGTAATTAATAAATGTTAGAGCTTCACAAATTCTTCTTAAAACATAAACCTGGAAAAAATAAAATTTTATGCAATAGTGAAAAAGTGTTAACACCTTCAATACTGAGCACATTTTTACTGGAAAAAATATAACAGGTATTTGACGCAAGGGATGCATAGCTAGCACCTACACATCTTAGAACTGGACTTTTGTGTTTACATATCTTTGCGGATTAATGTAAAAATTAAAATTATGTAAATTTACACCATTTTTATTTTTCATTTATTGGAAAAACACTTGTGAAATGAAAACCTTTAGACAAAACAGTGTCCTTAATCTTGCAATATTTAATGAAAGGTCTAAAATGTTAGTTTTTACAGGTATTTGCAAGGACCCTGAACGCATTACTAGCAGTATATATTACTACAAATGGCAACACATTATAAAATAAATGTGTATTACATATAGTAAATACAATTAAATTATATAATCCTAAAGTTAATTAAAACTGCTACAGCAATCTTTATCTTTATCACTCTTTGGAATCCATTCACGCCCCCCCCCCTCCGCCTCTCTACTTATAGGTATATTATGACTTGTTGAATGTTCTTTTACTGTTTGGAAGCAAGTTGACATTTTCAGCAAACTTGCAGATATTGTATGATTGACTACTGACTTCTGGCAGATAAATGTGTTCATGTACAATAACTAGTGTAAAAACCAGAGTAAGTTGGGCTTGGACTAAATGATATTCTTTAAAATACATCAAAAATAAAAATGTTTATACTTGATGTAGGTAATACTCACTTTGTTAATGAAACTAGAAAGAGTTTAAAGTGGTCAAAATAAATTAAATGAAAAAAAAAATTGCATTTTCATGAACTGCAAAACAGGTTATTTTTGTAGATCGAAAAACCAAAGCAGCACGTTCACCTTTTAAAACAGTGCCTAAATGTAAAGGATAATTACCCAATTAAAATATTGTAGAAAACATAAGGATTCCTCTAGAATTCCTCAAAATACAAATACAAGAACAAGATGTATCTACAAAATATAAAAGACAGGGAACAACAATAGGGTAGTATGTAAAATACACTTGGTAACTAAAATTCAAGGTTGAACTCAGTAGTGTATCGTAAGTACAGGCTCATCACAAATAGATGGTAATATCTGTAGTCAAGATTCTTCAGTTCAAAATCAATGATATTAAAAAGCCCATCAACAAAATATCCGAGGTAGCAGGATCAATAGTAAATGCTGGTGCTCTGGACTGGTGATCTTTAGGACTTCAGATGAAAATGTGATAAAAATGGCATTTAAGATAAAATAACAAAACGTGACAGTCAGTGCAGCACATATATAACAAACTCAACGCATTTTGTGTCATAACAGACATTGACTTCTAATACCCCCGAGGAAGTCTCTTATGAGATGAATCGCGTTGGGTTTGTTTTATATTGAAGGAGACTAGCACTGCGAGGGATTAAAGGTAAGTAAAGCGTTTTTTTTTTTGTTTTTTTTTACAGTGAGGGGTGCCAGTTTCCTAAATCATTAACAGGGCACTATAGCTTTAGGAATGCACATTTGTATTCCTAATGCTAAAGTGTTCCTTTAATCTTGTAATAAGTCAAATGACTGTAATGTTTCATCTTCTAATAAGTCAAGAAATGGTAATGCTTCATCACCTAATAAGTCAAGAAATGAAAAAATAAAAGTGACAAGAGAGTGGGGAATGACTAAAAAAATGTAAATTAAGGTGTATAGCAGATGAAAATAGGCACAGCTTGGACATCATTAAAAATAACAAAAAAAGGCATTACAGGAGTAGAAAAATTAAAGGCTGGTGAGGAAGAAAAGGAAACCGCATGAAATGCTTAAGTTGGAAAAAAATAAAATCTTGGTGGGATCAGGAGTAAGGTGAGCTATGGCAGTAAAATTAACCCTTTAAGTGCTGTAGCTGAGAGCAGTGCAATTCTCTGTGGTATTGAAAGTGAAGTGCTGATTGGAATGGAGCAGACGCCCTTCCCAGCAGCTCCGATGGCACTCCGCACAATCTGCTAAATATCTCATGGCACACAGCATATCCAGCAATCTCAGCTCCAGCACTTACCCTACGGCAGCTGACCTCATCGGCACATGCAGTTTCTTGCTAATTCTGGGCGGAAACGGTGGAAGAAAAGGCCTGCGGCCTAGCATCTCCCAACACACCTGGAGGAATTGTTGAGGCACATCCCCTTCCAGTGCCACCCGAAGACGAACCCGGAAGACAAACTTTCTCCAGACCAGCCCTCAAACATGGGGAGACGCTCTCAGAAGCCACCTCCAGGTACATCAACTGACTCCCACGATATAGGGGCCCTATTACAGAGATAGGTTCTGCCCAAAATGGCGACCCGGCAAGATCAAGAGGCCCCTGCGGACTCTCAGAGTCACACACCAGACCATCCTCGAGCCCCCACCCTGCCACAGGGACCAGAACAGGCAACTTCAGGCTCCACAGATTTCTCAGCCCTGGCCACTAAACAAGACATTAAAGACATCCTCAATGACTTCCACCAAACGCTAGCCACTGACATAGCAGCTATCCAGGCAGACCTACAGGCAGTTACAGACAGGGTGAAAGCAACTGAAGAGGACATCATGGACGTGAGACAAGACATGTCCAATGTAAAGAACTCACTACACAGTGCCCAAAAAACACAACAAGCAATCTCCAAGCACCTTGTACGCTGGAGGATCGCTCCAGACGTAACAATCTGAAAATAAGAGGGGTACCCGAATCCGTCACCAGGGAAGAATTACCACACTACCTGAGGCGATAGGTGGCCTCGCTGCTATCACCGACACAAGCCAAAAAGCTTGCTTTTGATGACATGTTCCGCCTTCCAAAGTCACTCAGGGCTCCAAGGAATGCAGTAAGCGACATCATAGTACGCTGCTCCCTCGCTCAAAACAAAAGGGCTCTATTTTAGGCTCTACAAAACCAGACACCTTACTCATTCAAGGGTACTGACCTATCCTTTTACCAGGACCTGTCGAGGTCCACCCTGCAATGTCATAAAACGCTCCTTTCAATCACAAGCCAACTGAGAACCGCAGGAGTCGCATACAAATAGACTACCTCACGAACCCTCATGGTCACCCACAACGGGACTGGTCACAGCATCGCTTCGGCGGAAGAGGTGCCAACACTGCTGAGAGCATTGGGACTGCCCGCTCCCAACAGGTAGGTGAGTGGCCAACGAGGAACACATACCTGGGCCCAACAACTGTAGTCCCTTACACCCCACGGGACTTCCCGTCTACGAGTGCTGGGACATGACTATGCTATGGGTCACTAGCGCAACAAGAGCTCTTTTTTATTTTTATTTTTGTGGGCTGTTCCCGCTACACCCTGGCTCACTCTAATTTCCAATGTTTTCTTTCTATTAATCTTAAAGTTTGACATGTCCGATTAGGTAACAGCAACCGAAAACACCCCCAGCAGGTGGGAGCTGAGGCCTGGAAAGAGGCGTCGCTCCATGTGATAGTGGTTTGGCCAAGTACCTACCCCGTCTCACATTCCCCCCCCACCCCCTCCCTGCAGCCCCCTTGGATAGGGGCACTACAAACCACAGCTGTTAAAAGCATAGCATGTCACAACTCAACTAGTATATACTCCTCGAGACATACTCTCTCAGATCACTTTTCCTTTAGTTTAACTGTAAATATGTTATTTTTGAATTTTTAGTTTACAAACAAGCCGGTTATCTAGCTATTTCATCTGCCTAAACTCTACAGAGCTAGCTAACCTAGCACTCTTTTAATCAGATGGTCATTTTCAGCCAGTCACTACTATGCCTAAACTCGGGTAGCTTGATATACACGACTTGCCTTGTTTTTCACTAACACTCACTAATACTCAGTTTAATTGCAACACCTAGCTTGTGTACTGAAACATTGATTCCCTTATCGTATGCACACAGTCTATTAACTTTACACCAAACTTTACATCAACCTGCGCTGTGACATTATCTTGCTTTGTTTACAACAAAAATAAAAATGTGCTGTACATTGTATACACCTATTCTGCGCTAACATGGTATATCCAACTAGACTTTTCTCATGTATGCTCTTAACTTTGTTACCACCAAACACAAAAAAAAAAAAATAAAAAAAAAAAAAAAAAGAACGTGAAGTGCTGAGCATGTAATTTACATACTTACTCAGCATGTAATAAGAAAGAGCCGAGCATTCCCCAATATAAAAAATATATAAAGAAATAACATGAAATTCAAAAAAGAAAAGGCATGGAGAAAAATCAGGAGAGATTCAGTGAGCTGTGTCTCCTCTCTCTACACCCCAAGGGCAGTCTTCTGTGCCCATATTTAATGCCTGTCCTTTATGGCCCTTATTGAACAAAATAAACAAGCAAGCCAGGAGACAAGGCCCTTTATTTATTTGGGCCCCTTAAGGGGTTACCTACAAGTGATCTGACTTGGTCGTGGTGGTAGGAGGATGTTTGTGCAGTGTTTTAGCTTAAAACAATGCACATATTGAGAGATATGTAATTGTGTGCTGGGGACTAGTTGCACCCCCAGCACAAGTGACACTGGCAGCCAAGAACTCTGTCAATTATGTGCGTATTTTGCACAAACAGTCACACACACAGGTACAGGCAAAAACACATGCAGACAGTCACACAAAGTTACAGGCAGACAGACACACACACACACTTACAGGCTGACAGTGACAAATACACAGGTACAAGCGGACAGTCACACACATACAGCTACACACAGTTATATACAATTCGTACAATACAAAAAGGCCCACACACAGTTACAGGCAGTCAGATA